AGACGGTAAAACAGACCAATCGCAGTGTCAGAAAGTTGAGCCCGCCTCGTGCAGTCGCATGGCACGCCCACCACTGTGAATGACGGCCCTGCAACCCAATCAGAGAGGATTATTTGTGATTGATGGCCTGTCAACCAATCAGAATACAGATTTTGGTCTCCTCCTGCCTACTGTGCTGCTGGCTAGTTCCCGCCCTCTACAGTGACCGACAGCAAAATTGCCCAATGGAGGAGAAACAGAGAAATAAAAGGACAGCTCAGCCATCCACTCGGAAACGGAAGAAGGAGGGCTCTATTTCCTCTGTCACCGTAGCACCGAGGTGCCACCTCTCCCGCTTGATTGACAGCCTCGCTGGCAAATGGGCAGTTGGGGCAGGGGACACCCCGTCTCAGGTGCAGAGTCAGGCAGTGACAGTTTGTGACGCCCGGTGCCGCCCCCACAGCGCGGCCTGCGCTGCTGCTCACCGGAGAGCAAAATAACCCCCAACGTGACGGACAGGCCGCGCCAGCCAATAAATAGCGCGCATAGCTGAGTGACAAGACACCGGGCCAATCACAATACAAGACGCGCCGCCCAAAGACGGTCGGTGCTGGGGATAGGCCAATCAGAGGCCAGGAGGAGCTGCGCTCGGCCAATGGGAGCGCAGTCCCTAAGGGCGGCCTGTGGGGAGGGGGCGGGCATTCAGTGAGGGGCGGGGCGGGGCCGGGCGGGTCCCGGCGGTGCTGCCGCCGCCGGGGGCTGCCGAGTCACGGCCGGGCAGTGATGGGCTGAGTGTGGGGGTCCCTAAACGGCGTTAGAGCTGCCCCAGGAGCGTGCTGGGCTGAGGCACGGCGGTGTTTTCCTGGTGGTGGAGTTATACTTTACAATTGGAGCATCACGGATTTGTTTGGGCTGGAAGAGACCTTGAAGATCACCTCATTCCATCTCCTGCCATGGCAGGGACAACTTCCACTGTGCCAGGCTGCTCCAAGCCCTGTCCAGCCTGGCCTTGGGCATTGCCAGGGATGCAGGGGCAGCCACAGCTGCTCTGGGCACCCTGTGCCAGGGCCTGACCACCCTCGTGCAAAAGAACTTTTCCCTAATAAAAGTTACTTTGTGTTTCACCCTGTCAAAGATCACCAAGCTTTGGTCTCTGTTTGGAAACAAGCTGTGAATCCAAGCATCACCTTTCCAATGTGCCATCCTGAGGGAAAACGGGTGAATTCCTCACCTTTGGGGTGTTCTCCCTGGATGGGATTTAGTAACAGGTAGCAGAAAGGCTCATTGTGCTAGCTAAATTAATTCCTAAATTGCTGCTTGAGCTGTTGCCGTGTTTAGAGAACACCAGGACCCGTGGATTCACAGGATTGCCAGAAAAAGGACCCGAATGTGGCTGTGACCATGGCCATGACTGTGACTGTGGCTGTGTCCACAGACACTCTGAGCTCAGCCCATGTGAGCTGGACTCCGTTTGGCTCCTGCCATAACCCAGATAAGGAGCTGCTCCCTGCTCACGCCTCTCGGCCTTTTTATCTCTCGCTGAGCTCCCATTGCTGGCCCCTACAGCTCCTGTGCTGCTGGTGTGAGGGCACAGGGACAGTCCCACAGGGCACAGGGACATCCCACAGGGCACAGGGACATCCCACAGGGCACAGGAACCGCAGGAATCTCTCCTGAGCTGCTGCTCCATGTAGTGCATGATGCCTTCCCGCTACCTGAGCTTCCGCTGCAGCGTGCCCTGGCTGATCCTTGTGCTGCAGGCTCTGCTCCTCCTGCGCTCCTTCTTCGGCTTCCCGGGTGTCAGTGACAACTATTCCTCATCCAGCCCCTGTTGTCCCTACCCAGGTAAGCACCTTGCTGGGGAACGGGGGGATCCCTGCTGCTCTCCAGGGTCTGGTGCTGAGGAGCAGAATGGTTTCATTGCTCTCTGAACTTGCCAGGAGTGCTGGCAGCTTCTTTATGTCACAGGTGTGATGGGGATCCGAGACTGAATTGTAATTTTGGTCAGTTTTCTGTTGGGGTTTTCACCTCTCAGCCCCCATCCTGATCCATTTACACATCCTGGTCCGTTCAGATCAGTGTGTAAAAATAAATTCAGCTTTAAGGGTGTTTTTATTAAGGGTATTTTACTTCTTATTTTTTATTAGGGGTATTTTATTAAGGGTATTTTTTCTCTTATTATGCATTGGAAAGAAAACTCTGGAATTCTTTGCAATCTCTAAACAATAATTAAAATTTTACCTGAAGGCTTCTTAGTTAACTGTAATTTTTTAATTGATTTTTTTTTAAACCAGAAATCTGCGTTAATGATTTCACTGCCATCTTGCTCTTTTCTGTCCTGCAGAATTTCAAGATGTGAACCACATGGTGATTTTTGGATTTGGCTTCTTCCTGATGGTTCTGAGAAGATATGGCTTTAGCAGCACTGGGTTCAACTTCCTGCTCGTTGTTCTTGGTGTCCAGTGCTCTGTGCTGGCAGAAGATTTATTAGTTTTCCTTAGGGGAGGGCGAAATGTAGCTGGTTTGGAAAGGTAATGAGTTCGTGTTAGAGCTGGGCTGCTGCAGAACTGCTGATTGCTCCCTGTGCAGTGAATGCCTCCTTGTGGGGCCCTGGTAGGGATGGGCAGAGTCACATTTGCAGGCATTTTAGAGGACTTTTGGTTTTTAAGTACGTTGCTCTGTGTAATTCCTTTTTATCGGCCCGGGTGTTACCCTGAGACTGAGTTGTTCTTTCCTCTCTTGCAGACTAGCAAAGGCTTTTGTGAGCGTGACTGCTGTGGTCATCTCCACTGGGGCTGTCCTGGGCAGGGCCAATCCTGTGCAGCTCATTGTCATGACCCTGGTGGAATTAATCTTCTTCTATGTGAGCAGATACATCAACGAGACATTCCTGGAGGTACCGTGGTGGGATTGGCAGAGATGTGTGGG